CGATCACACTCATCACTAATGTACACTCGAAATCCCTGAGATGTGGTAGGCGTGGCTGCGTGCATCACACAAACGTAGCGCTAGCTGTGCTTTCGAAGGGATAGTTTTATTTTGATACAACTGGGTCAATTTTCTGTCCAACATGGAACAAGATGACAGTTGCCTCACCCAGAAATATCTCACGAGTGACCCAATGTGAGCTATCTTCAGATGCCACGCCCACTCTGTGTCAGGGATAAGGAGTGTAATCGGCCTTCAAAGAATCAGCCACCTGTCGAAATTCCTCATCAAACGTTATGTCTTTCTTCTGCCACATTTCACTGAACTGGACTCGAATTTCGGCAAATGTCTCGGTGATTACAGCGATGAAGACATTCTGCAATGATTTATTCTGAACAACTATCATTGTTCAACACGCGCTTTGAAAGCTCCTGCATCGAATCCTTCACCGGTGGGCTTTCCAAGGTAACGCCTTCAACAGGCCTTCAAACTACAACACTTTAGCAAAATACAGCGACAACAAATTCATCAAGATCAGCACCCCTCCCCCCTCTCCCACGACCAGGGCGGACTGTCTCATTGGTGCAAATGAAAAGAGAATGCTTCGCAGCTCAGCGGGAGACAATTCCTGTTCTAGCACATCTCCTTCACCCTCACCTTCATTTTTTAGAGACGATGTAGTTCATGTGCTTCCACAGTTTTCCTCTCCAGCGGCCGCACCAAGTGCGCGTACGTGCGAGACAGTCACGTCTAACGACATAACACGCAGACACCTCTGACGTGCTTTATAAATAAGACGAGCTCACCTTCACTAACCAAGCCAGAAAGAATATCAACGTGAGAAAGTAGATGAACGCTAGATGGGATGGTAAGGAGTCCATACAGTCGTACAGCACGTACACCCATCCTTCTTCGGAAGCTGCCAGATAAACTGTGAAAACACTGGCACCTGAATCAATTCTCGAATCGGGCTCGTCCATGCTCAATGGTGTATTTCATAGAGGAGAATAGAAT